TGTTCCTTCTGCCCATCTTACCACCATGGGGTACAGGGCCTTAAGTCGTTCTGCTCCACGGCTCTGAGATTCACTCCCACCAGATATCAGAAACATCAACTCACTTTCACTTTTTAAATCTGCTCTCAAAACCCATCTTTTCAAAGTAGCATTTTCTCTCTAATTTTCTATTTTATTTATTTAATTATTGTTATTATTATTACAATAATTTTTATGAAACTTATTTTATTCTATATTCTCTGTATTTTGTGGCTTTATGCTTTATTGTACGGTGTCCTTGGGTGCTAGAAAGGTGCCTTTTAAATAAAATGTATTATTATTATTATTATTATTAAATTGGTGTGGAACATTTGGCCATGTCAAGCACTATAGTGAAAATTGCCATCCTTGATTTTTCCATTATACTTTTTAATTTATTTTTATTTTTATTTGTGTTTTACTGGCAGCAGTAGCCCACTGGGTCTTTGAAGCACCTATAACTGAGCTTGAAGATCCTTATCTCTCCTGGGCCAAGTCATCATCATTAAAATTAGCTGCCATTTTCAAAGTCAAAGTCACTCAGATCTTTATCCCTGCCCATTTCTTCTGCATTCTTCATGTCAACTATGAGTAACAAATATTAGCTTATGGTCTAACACAGGGGTCTCCAGCTCTGATCATGAGATCCAATATCCAGTAGGTTTTCTATTCTACCTGGCTCCTGATGAGCCACAACCGTTCCTGGTATTTACCGGAAAACAGGTGTGTTTCATCAGAAGCCATGATTCAAAAAGTTTATTTGTCACTTGAATAGTGTTAATTATAATGTTTTGCTCATCGGTGTATACACAACTTAAATCTAACGCCACACTCCAAACTCACAGTGTGGGCCAACACCTAGCTAAAATTAGAGTCTTCATTTCTTCATAAATGCTTGGCCTATCAGTCCTACCCAATTAACAAAAAATTATGAACTAGGGGAACTGAGCCACCTGACTACAAACTTCATCATCTATGCAGCATTTAAGGACATGTCAGTGGCAACAACAAATGAATGAAAGCCAATTGCTGCCTGAAAACCAGCTGAATAATTCCACTAGCCTGTTTAGAAAATCTACATTTGTAAGCAGGCAAAAGTAGTTCCTGTTGCACTATGATAATATTCACTGAAGCCTGACTACCTTGGCCTTGTATTATTAAATGTGATTTAGCACAACTTCTAAAAAAATTCAGTCCACAAAATTACAGAAATATTAGTCTTTTGTCTTACAAACACATGTTTTTTAAATATAAATATCTTTAGAACAACTAATTGCAACACCAAGAATGCATTAACTTTTAAAATATAAAACACGGTTTGAATTCTGAGGTACAATCACCAAACCTTACTTTTATTTTGATAGCACTGAATACACAGACCAAACCAGCACTGTACATCTATTTTATACATTAATGAGTTACTAAACTTTTTGTGTGTCTTCTACTGGCCTTCACAGGTCATCTGTGGCTTTTGCAAGACTCCCAATAAATTCCCATCTAATTTCTTATGCCGACCCCACGATGTACTGAAATTGTGATGGGGCAAGTCACGAGGCGGAAGGACCGACTGTATTACATTTACAATTCATTAAACACAGGTTAAGAGTGGAATGCCACAGTACTGACTCAGGAGTTTTTGAAGTTTTACCACTTGTAAATGGAATGTTGATTATCTGGTTATACAACCTACTGATAATACAGTAAAATTTGAAGGACATAGTATGTAACAGTTAACTAACTTGTGATTGGATTGGATTTAATATATATTACTAAGGACTGTACATGATTAATGTTTAGCGTAATTTTCCTTAAAACTGCCAATCTTCAGGTAAGAAGAATGAGTATAATAATATGATGAAGAAACAATTTAAAATAGACCAGTTTGGCTGGTTTCTTGGCATAAACTGATCGTGTTTCAGGAAGTTCAGAGTTTTTTTTCTCATGTCAGTCACAGGTCTCCTTATTGTGCTCCTCACAGCATGCAGAAGGTGATATATGCTCATAAGTGAGAAAACTACGTGAAGGAGAACACAGTGCAGGTAAGAAAAGCTTCTTAACATCATTAGTCTTCATCAACATACCATGTCATCTGAGGCCAACTTGTGCCACCAATTCAGTTTCCAGTCAAAAGGAGAAACATTTAATGCTGCACATGTTCTGGTTTCTGTTACTGATGTGATAAATAAATTAAAGCATTCTGTGTTTCCTCTAAGAATATATACATTTTCCTTCAGATTTTAAGACAGGGAACAGTATGCTCATTTTGAATTTTTATTACAATAATCAGTAACATTTTACATTAACTGCACCTTCATAATGTATTCAAAGAAAATTTATAAGCACCATGTAAGTATACTTTAACATCCAAACATACTTAACAGCTTAAACGTACATAATAACAGACATTATTTGATTATAAAATTATAAGGTTTGTTATAATCATATAATATTTTTGATCAATGTATATCTAAGGTGTTTAGGAATGTTAGGGTGCTAAGGTGCACATACATGTTGCTTATGAATGTTTTATGAATGCATTATAAACGCATTATGAAGGTGGAGTTAATGTAAAGTGTTACCCAGTAACCTGTTTTTGCTATTATTTTTGACCATATACTAATAATAAAATAGTTATACCAGAAATAAAACAGTAAGAATAATAAAAAGATGTTTCAAGGAAAGTAATGAACAAAGAAAAATCAGACTAGTAACTTGAGTAATGAATTTATGGTTAGCATAATGAAAATTTTAAAAATATGCAAAAATAGAAGGCAGCAAAGCGGTCATGGTTAAAATCTGTCTGAATAATGAAAATGAGAGATCAAAACTGATATTGAGGCAGTTAAGTAATTATAGATGATGACACTTGTGCCAGTGGTTGATGAGTGCCTACTGTTGTAATGAGTAGTGGTGATTTTAGACCATTCCAGCAGGGGCAGGTGTTCAGATGCAGATGCAATCAGATGCATTTCACTTTAATGTCCTCCAAGAATGACTTACAATAGATTTCTTCTTTAGACTGTCTCGCTTCCGCAAGCTTGATTATTTTTTTCTGTTAACTTTGCGCGCTGAAGCGACTCGACCACCCAGCCGACGCGCGTTAAGAGTCTGTCAAGAAAATGTGCTGGCGTTTGTGTTTCGCCTGTTCCCAGCACACAGAATTTTCGCCGGAAATATATTCGCCATATAAATGTAAATAATAATAATAATAATAATAATAATAATAATGATAGTAATACTAATAATACATTTATTTCAGACCAAGTAGAATACATATTTAGGGGGGCCACGGGATAAGGTGGGGTGGGGGCATGCATGTTGTCATGGGAGCACTGCCCCCCTGCCCCTCCAGAACCGCCCCTGGTCGTGAGCAGTTATTTTTTCCACTTGGTCCCATCCTCGCAGGTTTAATTTTAAAGGCACGGTCAAGTGCTATATAGCTGGCTTATACAGTTTACCCAGTGTGAGAAGTTGCCTTAATGTGCATTTATTGAGTGTACGATCTCCCCAGTATTTCCTGATTGCTTGTACGTATCTCCTTCTGTGTTCTTTGTGTGTGCAATTCATGATCCTACAGTAGCCCTGAAAGGCCAGAGCATGTCAACATGATGCAAAAACATTAGGAAAACACAACATCATTAAGAAAATGCTAAAACAAAAAGACAATACAAAACCATCAAGATAAAACATTTTTTTTGCATTGTGTGAATGTTGATGTGCTCGGGGCTTTCAGGGCCACCGTATGATCCCCTGTGCGTCTGGTTCATACTTCACGTGAAACTGGGCTCACCATAGTGCTGGACCGTCCGTGACGCTGAATTTTCATACTTCTACCGCCAACCCACCAGGCGATCGTGCACTTTAACGTCAGGCTTGGGGTAGCGCTGTAGTGCAAAGCTGCTGTTAGAAGTCATACTTGTCAAGTGTGGCAATAAGAATTTTAACAAAATCTTAATGTGCATTTATTGACTGTACGATCTCCCAGGTCTTTACCGATTGCTCGTATCTCCTGCATTCTTCTTTTATGTGTGCGGTTCCTGATCCCCTGTGTGATATTGCTTCCAAAACCAAATGAAATAAAATAAACATAAATGATAAAATCTTTCCTTTACTGTTTTAAAATACTATTTAGCTAAAGTACTGATTTGGTTATCTTTGGACCTCTTGTGCAATGAACCATAACCATAGAAATAGCCAATGGCAGTTCATCGTGACATTTTGTAGTAGCTAGCTAAGTCCTACAAATTTATATGTATCCCTAGAAATAAAATTACGAAAACCTGAACTAAAATATACAATGCTCACAGAAAGTCTTTGGATGCTTCCTTAATTCCTTAATAAAACATGTTGAAAATTTATTGGTTTCATAACAAAAATTCATTGACAAGCAATGTTTAATATATCTGCACGTCTTCCACACAGACATTTTCTTTTTATTAAGTGTAATAATTGCTTTGATTGACTCATTAAGGTCTATTCTTCCCATTTTGCTATAAATTGCAATTGTAGTCATGGGCTCCCAAAGGGATACTAAACACAAATTGGTGTCTCATTTTATTGCAAAGATGGTACTAATGAAAAGCACCAAATGAGACTGTCAATGAAGTTTTTTTAACAGTCTTTAAATTGATTAACATCTTTAAAATAAAAACTAATGAAAGCACACCTAAAACTAAGCTAGATGTCAAATGAAAATAAAAAGTACAGTGGTGCCTGTGGTTCACGAACGCTGTGGTGTACGAAGAATTTGGTTCACGACCAAAAATTTTGTGAAAAAAATGCATTGGTTCGTGTACAAAATTTGGTTGATGAACAGATTCCTCGACCAGATTCCTTTTTTCATACTAGTGCAGCACCGGCGGAGCGCATGTCCCTGCATGGCCCATGTGCAATTGTAAATAGAAGGACCACAACAGGCAACCAACAAGCAGCAAACCCAAATACACAGACAGGAAACACAAGGTTGTAAGACATCGAAATGCAAGATGCCCACATGGTGGAAGATTTACACACGCTAAATACACGTGAGGATCGGACTGGGTACACACAAGACACGGGCAAACACACGCGCGACAAAAGGGAAACGCAACCATTAACATTAACGACAACAACAATACAAGGGTTAATCTGTAAACTCTGATGTGCCAGAGCTCATAAAGAGAACAGGCAGGGTTGGTATCTGCTCAAAGGTTTTCTCCATTGGCACTGTACTCACTCACACTGCAGTGTGCAGTTAGTTAGCAGTCATTCATAATGACAAGCATAATTGTTAAATGAAGGAGCAACAATCACCTTCAAGAAGAATGACAGTCACATGACCACCAAAGTCGGTAGCAGGTTTGACATCCACGAGAGTGGAAATTTATATTACTTGTCTACTGTTGAAGAAAATGTTGACCAATGTAAAGGGTGTCATGACATACAATCCTGGCATGAAATTGGGGGCCATTGTAATTATGAGGATGTACAAAGGCTACAAGGTGTAGTGAAAGGTTTGGAAATTAAAGGGAGTGCAGTTAAACCAACACAGTTATGTGAAGTGTGCACACAAGGAAAATTTACACAGACAAGGAGTAGGGAACCAGACAGAAAGGCAAAGAAACCTTTAGAACTGGTCCATACTGACCTTGCCGGTCCCATGCCAACTCCAAGTATGGAAGGATACAGATATGCACAATCTTTCACAGATGACTACTCAGGAACTATGATGGTGTATTTTTTAAGTTTAAAAGTGATACAATGCAAGCTACAGAAAAGTTTTTAGCAGACATAGCACCTTTTGGAGATGTCAAATGTATCCGTTCAGACAACGGAACTGAGTTTACAAAGGCTGGCGGACTCTGTATCATATGAATAGATGCTTATTGTTGGAGAGTCAGTTACCCAACAAACTCTGGGACTATGCTATGCAGACAGCAGCAAATGTGCGAAACAGGTGTTACAGTAGGCGCACAAAGAAAACGCCATATGAGCTGTTTACAGGAAAAGAACCAGAGGTGTCCAAGCTGCAGAAATTTGGTTCAATGTGTTTTGCTTACAAGCAAGAAAAAGGGAAGTCAGACTCCTAGTGTGAGGAAGGTGTTTTTATTGGCTACGATAGAAACAGTCCAGCTTACCTAGTGTACTGTACTACCCAGGCACAGAGAAAGTCCAAAGACACCGGTTGGTGAAGTTCACGACCAAAACATCCAAAGAAAAAGAAACACAAACACTGGATTCGTACATAGTACAGGAAGATAAGATAAGATAAGAAGATAAGATATTACGTCCAAAAACAGACAAAGAGGAAGATGATGTTAATGAAAGTGTACAGCATATATCAAAAGAGAGTGAGCAAAGCGACATTTCTGTGAACTTACCTGAGACACCTCAATGCCCACAACAAGCTGTCGTCACTGAGACAGTGATCAAAAGAAATCCACCAAGAACGAAGAGAAAGCCACCTTATTTACAGGATTTTGAGACAGAAAATATGGAGGATAAACTACAAACCTGTGTGGACTCTTGTTATACGGCAGTTTGTGACATACCTCAAACCTACCAGGAAGCTACTGTATGTCATCAGCCAAGTCACAACAGTGGAAAAAGGCCATGGATGAGGAAATGCAGTCACTGGAAGAGAATGAGACCTTCAGTCTCACCTGCTTGTCACCAGGTAAACAGGCAGTGGGGGGCAGATGGGTCTATGCACTCAAACGTGACAGTGATGGTCTGGAAGAATATAAAGCGAGATTTGTGGCGAAAGGTTACAGTCAGAAACCAGGAACTGACCATGAGGAGACATTCTGACCAGCGTCAGAATCATCATGCAAACGGCAGCACAAGAGGGTTTAATCTTACATCAGATGAATGTTAAGACTGCTTATCTGCATGCACCCAGCGATCGAGATATAAATGTTGAGCAACCAGAAGGTTACGAACAAAAGACAAATACCGGAGGGAGACTTGTATGTAAACTGCGGTAATCTATTTATGGTCTGAGACAGTCGGTTCGGAATTGGAATACCATGTTACATACATGTTTGATCCAAAATGACTT